TACACCTGACAATAAACAATTTACTTGTATAAGAAAATAAGTGATAGAAATCATTAAATACGAGAAAAAGGAAATTGATATAAGAATAAAAAAGTACTGGCTATCACAGAAGCATTAAATAAGAATACTTTTGCCAGTGTCCTCACTTAAAACAATTTGTGACGTACAAGAAGCATTCTACAAGTTAATATTAGTTATGGGGTTTGGATTGTTTTGTTTTTATATAGTACAGATTCTTTTAAGCTGAATAAGAACTTATCGAGTTTTTTTCTTAAACAACCGAAAACGTAGTATCATCGCCAATGTTTTGTATCTGATTATTAAACTGGAAGTAACAGTTTGAAATATGAAATGACAACTACTGTCCCATAAAATATATGAAATAGCGAAACCCTTCTTTATAAACAAAACAAGAATAAGAAAAATTGTAAAATACATACTATTTGTATTTTAGCAGTCTCCTCCTCCTTCTTCCTGTTGTGTTTTATGATGAATTTGCACCATAGTGTGTTGTTTAAGATAGCCGGCATACATTTGACGCGCCTGATTTAATACCTTGTTCACATCATGTTTTCTGACCATTTTGTCGAAGTGCATCGCCATTTCATTATAGTCCATCCCTTTGCCTATTATATGTTCGCGATGTTGCAGCAATACAGTAAGACACAAGAACATAAGGAACGGATTACCGCCCCCGAATTCATCTGGAGGAGGTAGTAAACCAGGTAGTTGTTTATTAACCTCGGTGATCTCTTCGCAAGAATTTGTAAGGTCTTCGTCAGCCATTACGTCGACGTTTAACAGTTTCTTGTTTATTGGTGAAGAAGGGGCCACTTTAACGTCGTCTAAATTGTCTTTAATATTTTTAAAAATGGAACTGGGACTTCGTTCCGGTAAAGGATTTTCCCAAACAAAGACTTCGTCGCTTTTCCTATGAGTTTTTGATTGACTTCTGTGTGTTGGAGACCTCGGAACGTTTTGAGCATGAGAATCGTCAGAATGTGCTTTTTTCAGTCTTTGAACATTTTGATTATTTGTGTTTAATACTGCATTGCTTGATGCCACCATTTCTCCGTTTTGCTGCTCTCTAAAGACGTCAGTTTCCTCAGACCATTTTTGTAAACCATCTACTGGATTTGTAACGTGTATTTCCACATTATTTTTCCTCCTATTTAACGTTGCAGCTTCATGCCTGTGTTTTACGTCGCATTCAATTTTCTCATCAGAATGTGTATCGATTAATCTCGAACTCGTTTCAAGTTCGTCTAAGTTGTTAATAATAAACTTTTCATTTATTTCTTCAGGACTGTTGTCTTCAGAAGTGTCGTTATGGCTTGTTGGGGCGGAATTACAAGAATTGTACCTCCGAATCCTTTGAACTTTTTCCAGTGATTTGGTGAGTTCTTTTTTATCTGAAGAACGTCCCAACATGGCCGATTTATCTAAACTTTTGCTTTTATTCAATGATGCAAAATATAAAAACTCATTGAAGTTTCTGACGACTCGTTGCTGATGTTTGGATGCAGCTTTGTCTTTATTTAAACCTTCTAGGGATGAAAACATACTCATATTAGTGGCCACTAGTTTTTCTTTGAGTTGCTTGAAGTGACCAGATCGCTTTCCAAGTCCGGCAATATTGTTCATACTTGCAGACAGATTAGCCAGTTTAGGTTTTTGTACTAAGACACAATTTGTCATGTTCGTTTGACAATGTGAATCGAATTCTTTTAATTTTTCTACCACTTCATCGGAGCAGGAAGATAAATCACTTCCTTTCTTATTTTGCGTTGCTTCCTCCTTTATAAAACTAGCATCTTCGAGGCTAAGATACTTGGCAGAAAAAGATATTGAACTGCTTTTATTCATGTGGCCCAAACTTTCGTCGAGACTGTGATTTTGTCTGGGAACAGGAGCACTTCGTGTGGGATAATTATTTAACGATATGGAAGAACTTTGTCTCCTGAGTGCACAAACTTTGGTGTAGGCATTTTCTCTTGGTGTTTTTAAAAGAGGACTTATCGGAGGCGTCTTCGCAACATTTAAAGACGGTTGGAATTTGACGTCGCATAATTTAAGCTCTTTAGGAGGAGGATTGGCTGGAAGTGAGCTCCATAGGACTTCCAACATACGAAGAGAATCTTCGAAGGCAAACTCGCGTTTCATTTCTAACAATAGCCAACGGTAGCAGAAAAGAAGATCGTCAGCCTGGAATTTTAATCCATGAGTTCTAAGTAACACAATCACGTCGAAAGGTCAAATTTTTTATTTAGTAAAAATTAACTTCACTGATTCAAAAGTTCAAATTCTGGCCGTGGAACTTTACACCTTTTAAAAATTGAAAAATTAAGATACCTGATGTACTTTGAGGTAATTGTAAAATTCTGAGTCGTAATACATGATCCCTTCAGCTAGATGAGTAAATTTTTGGGTCATCGCAATTCCGTCCAACATAAAATTGAAACACAGCCTGGACATAAGTGCACAAAAACAAATGTAAGCATGAGCTTCGTCGCCCATGGTTACTAAAAGAGGGGACGCTATGTCGCTCATGCCTTGGCAGTAACTCACTTTCGGATGATTTAGCGCATACCTATAGTACGATTGAATGGAAATATTTCATTTGGGAAGAAATTTGCACCCACTTACGTTGTAAGTATGTTAAACAGTGATGTGATATTTTGATTATCGTCATTTCCTGCATAAAAAGGATGATGCCTGTCCGTTCTGAGGACATCTTTCCTTACCATACCGGTTGTATACCCTAATTCTCCATTAACATTTCCACTTGCAAGAGCTTTCTTCCAAGTATCTCTCAAACTAATATATTCGTTCGCTAATTTTTTAATATAATCCATTCGTTCCTTTCCAGTCATACCGTCAGGATAAACGTTTAGCAAATGCTTCCACACAACCTTTCTAGAAATATCAAATAAAAACCTTCTTAAGAGACATTTCTTAAATTTGGTATGTTAACTCTTTTTAACGAAATATCAAAGTTAAAACCAATGTATGGTGATTTTTGATGCATTATATTTTACCTTAAACTAGGGTCTATTCCACCTAAATAAATCACAGATTTTAATTCTTTGGTATGCGTAATTTGACCCACAGGGTCGAGGAACCTTCGAAACTCGGAATCAGAAAGAGGAGGTCGTGGGGGTTGCAACGACGCACTACCATCATCACCGAAGTTTAATACTTTTTGAACCATATTAAACGTTTTCCCCATCTAAAAGGTGCTTATTTTAATACTACTTTTAAATGTCTTACTTATTTACCGCCACTAGTAAATGTAAAAGTGTGGGTTGTTGTATACAACACAATAGCTGGTTTTTAAAAACAATCCCACACAGTAGCAAAAGCAAGGAAACTGAACGTAATAAAGTTAATTACAAATTACATGTGATAACAAAATTACTGAAACATTCATTTTAGCAGACTGTTCAAATGAAAAACCAATTAAACCATAACAACTGAAATAATACAAACAACCTGACTAATTAATTACGATATTTTGATAGGATAGTAAACAAAACCTGGTTAAATTGCTACTTTAAATTTTGTATATGTAAGTTAATGCTCTAACTCAAACTCAAAAATGTATAAACTGTAGATTAACCTGATTGATAATGCCATGGAAGCGGGGAGAGGGTTTAGCTTCTTGAGCTGTTCCTGTTCTAAGTTGTGTAATAACTGGAACATTGTTCCTAACTTCCCAATCATCAGAGCATTCTTCAAACGGTTTTAAATCAACACGTAATGAAAGACAAGGTTCAGCATTGCTGTTCAAAGACAAATTATGAGCTCTAGAAATACAATTAAAGTTGCTAATTTCATACTCTTCCTTATATTTATACAATAGTTACTTTAAAAATGCTGCATCCAATTCCCAATCAGAAAGTAGAGGCATGTATATTTCATTTCCTTGAACATCTTGCATTGAATAGCTAATAGCAAAGTCACTTTTAAGATCAAATGCTTTCGATAATATACTTTGCAACACTTCAAAAGATGTTATCTGAGGGTCAACACTGAATTTTCTATAATCAGGGAGTTGAGTTCCTTCATATTTCTAATAAAAAGAATGTATGTCGCTACGTAATTAAATAATTGAAATAAAAGCTCACCTTTACTTTTATTCTTACTGCTTCTCTTCCAAATCCTAATATTCCTGACATTTTAATGTAATTATTACTTGATATATAAACTTCAACATTTAAAAAACCGATAATGTGCTTAAGACATATTTTTAAGAAAACACTATACATACATCACTCTAATTAAGATTTACAACAAATAAACCTTTTAATTTAACTTTAACTATGTCAATTTTACCCTCATTTTAAACTGTCCTCATAAAACGTCAACTACTAAACTTATGTGAACTTATTACCAGTATTATTTTTATGTTTATCTAACCTACAAGAGTAATGTCTAATCTATGGTAATGTCACATTCATAGATAGTCAAAACTATGTCTATGGCCAAAATTAGCCTGAAATCCATTGAAATTATGATCTACTTTCAGCCACTCGTGAAAACCATTGATATAGATTACATCAAAAATTAGGAGTATTCATTTAAATGAATTAACATTTGATTAATTAAGATGTTAGTTCATTTTGCTTAAAATACATTTAAAATTATTTTGCGCATTTTTAGAGATTTATTGTAAAATAGATGTATGATTACATAGAAATTGCAACTTTATCATTAAAAATAAACATGTCTTAACACAATCTTCCCATATGCCTATTGCATGTATGACTATCATTCAAATAGTCGGGGAATTCCGTATCAGTATCGGAGTATTCTATATCAGAATCTGAATTATTTCTAAGAGGATTAAAACGATNGAAATTATGATCTACTTTCAGCCACTCGTGAAAACCATTGATATAGATTACATCAAAAATTAGGAGTATTCATTTAAATGAATTAACATTTGATTAATTAAGATGTTAGTTCATTTTGCTTAAAAAACATTTAAAATTATTTTGCGCATTTTTAGAGATTTATTGTAAAATAGATGTATGATTACATAGAAATTGCAACTTTATCATTAAAAATAAACATGTCTTAACACAATCTTCCCATATGCCTATTGCATGTATGACTATCATTCAAATAGTCGGGGAATTCCGTATCAGTATCGGAGTATTCTATATCAGAATCTGAATTATTTCTAAGAGGATTAAAACGATTACAATGGGGTGTATTTTCACGTCCACCGTGATGATTTTTGCGTTTTTTTGATGACTTGGGAAAGTCTTTAGGTTTCCTATTTGGAAGAAATTCTTCACTAAACGAAGGACATGTTGCTTTATGGTGCTCATCTAAATGGCACACGTTCTCTGGACAAGGATATTCTTCTTCTAAGGGACTTTTAAATTTAATTCTTTTCTTTGTTCCCGTAAAATATTGTTGAATTTTAAACCTGAACTTTCTGAGCCGAATAACAATGTCTTTTCCAAAAATTTTGCAACCAGAACTAAAATAAATCACATTTTATTGAATATTTCAAGATATTCACTATTATAAAACAAAGAGTAGTTCAGAGTCGGAACGTGTTTAACAAAAAGGAAATCACTTTGGTACTTGATAGTTAATTTGGATATTCGAAGACGATTTTATTAAATTTTTGTGTTTTGAAGCACTACTCTGTACCCTTGATAGAAAAAGTTAGAAATGAGGGGGCATTACAAACAGTATAAGAACGAAGGGCTTTATGGAAATCAACAGCAAATAGGCGAAATAGATTGGTAGGACTCCTTGTCAGACATGAAGGGCTAGTAAATGTACGTATCCTTGGTATTGTCATAAATCGCGATTGCCAAAAGAATGATTAAACTAAAAGAACATTTGTACATTAAATTATTGTGGAGAAATACAACAATAAAAACGATATTGGCATTTAATTTTAAACCTTAATAAAAGGAAAGACATTATGTCACATTGTTGACGGGGATTATTATCATATGAATACATTTCCAACTTTTTCTAAAATTTGGTTGAAAACCCTTACATATTATAATTTGAAACTGCTCAAGAAGTATTTAGTTGCTAATTATCATTTTGATGTCGGAAATAAGGACGTTCATAAGGATACACAAATGTTAACAACAAATATTAAAAGAATTATTAAAAATTTTGGTAGAGGTGCCAAGACAATTTAAAACAAAAGCTATAATTGTGCAATAATTCGGGTTTCATTGATGAAGATTAATGAATTTTCATCTTTACATTATATCGCTTCCATGTTGATGCAGTTAGGGATGCCAATTTATATATATTTTTTTAAATAAATTAAAGTACAATTTGTAATATAATATATAGGCAACCCAACTTACATCAATTCCTGAAATGTAACTATAAAGGAAGTTAAAAAACTATTACGTAGAAATTAATTAAATAATTAGTAATATTTTTAGAGACTTGTAAAATTTGGTTGAAAACCCTTACACATCTTTATAAGATTAAATTACTGAAAGATATATTACTTCGTTTATGATTTTATTATTTTGAAATTTTCACTGTTTCCTATGAATGCATTTTCAACTTTATCACTGCATTGTACTTATTGGAAAAACGCTTCCTTCCTTCAGGATTGTTTTGGATTTTGCATAACCGGGGAGTATTAATTTATGAAAAAAAGATCTTGTAAAATTTTCCTTTGAAATTAAGATGAAAAATGCCTATCACTCATAAAACTAACTCAAAGTTGTCATATTTGAAGAGGTAATTTGTTCTTTTTTTTGTTATATACGTGTGGTGTTAAAAGAATTAACAAATGAATGTTCTTTGAAGCAAAACAAAGACTTCCTCGGATGTAAGACAAAGTGTCTTTTAGTTGTTGTTTTCATGAAGAAATAATAGAACGTAGCAAAATATTACCTTAAAAGTCTGAAGTCTACAACTCTAGTGGCGTGTAAGACACAAGTCAAAAAAAATAAACTCATTGTGTAGCTGGACATTATCGCTGCAACATCGCACCTTAAAAAGTCAGCGATATCGCAAAAAATAATCTTGCACCCTATTCCACTCCTTTGTAAAAAGTCGTAAAAACTTTCCCCAACCCTAGGGGTAGTTGTTATTAAATAATTTTCAAGCGGATTCCAAAAATCCACTAGTATGTATTCCATAATAAATAGAGACATTAGAAACTGGAACATTGTTAATTTTAAACTATAATAGTCGTTCAGTCAAGTTCAAAAGACTTTTTTAATTTTTTACTATTCAAAATATGGATTAGTATTACGCAGATCTTTGGTTGTTTTGGGATAAAAAAGGATGATACTCAAATAATGAATCAACAGAACTTTGGGATTTTAAAGTAACTCAATTTTTGCAGTTGCACGATTAATTATATGTAGGGAAGACCAGGGAAAAACGGGATGAGTGCTAATGTACGTAACTTATATGCGCATAAGTGACACCGATAGGGCTATTTGGACGAACTTAAGTAGCCCTGCATGAGTTAGCTGGAAGGAACCGTGTACCTACTGTTTTTGGTTGCACAATTGCAAATGTTGACGTATTATCAGGCAGGTAACTAAATATTTTTGAAGTGAAACTTCTTTACACACGGTAGGGTAAGTTCGTTTCATGCGAGTTGCTATGTAACGAAATCATGCAACGGATGTCCCCCCTCTACTCGGCCAAGTAGTCGAGTTCGTAGTGGGGATCGCTTGAGTNCTATGTCTATGGCCAAAATTAGCCTGAAATCCATTGAAATTATGATCTACTTTCAGCCACTCGTGAAAACCATTGATATAGATTACATCAAAAATTAGGAGTATTCATTTAAATGAATTAACATTTGATTAATTAAGATGTTAGTTCATTTTGCTTAAAAAACATTTAAAATTATTTTGCGCATTTTTAGAGATTTATTGTAAAATAGATGTATGATTACATAGAAATTGCAACTTTATCATTAAAAATAAACATGTCTTAACACAATCTTCCCATATGCCTATTGCATGTATGACTATCATTCAAATAGTCGGGGAATTCCGTATCAGTATCGGAGTATTCTATATCAGAATCTGAATTATTTCTAAGAGGATTAAAACGATTACAATGGGGTGTATTTTCACGTCCACCGTGATGATTTTTGCGTTTTTTTGATGACTTGGGAAAGTCTTTAGGTTTCCTATTTGGAAGAAATTCTTCACTAAACGAAGGACATGTTGCTTTATGGTGCTCATCTAAATGGCACACGTTCTCTGGACAAGGATATTCTTCTTCTAAGGGACTTTTAAATTTAATTCTTTTCTTTGTTCCCGTAAAATATTGTTGAATTTTAAACCTGAACTTTCTGAGCCGAATAACAATGTCTTTTCCAAAAATTTTGCAACCAGAACTAAAATAAATCACATTTTATTGAATATTTCAAGATATTCACTATTATAAAACAAAGAGTAGTTCAGAGTCGGAACGTGTTTAACAAAAAGGAAATCACTTTGGTACTTGATAGTTAATTTGGATATTCGAAGACGATTTTATTAAATTTTTGTGTTTTGAAGCACTACTCTGTACCCTTGATAGAAAAAGTTAGAAATGAGGGGGCATTACAAACAGTATAAGAACGAAGGGCTTTATGGAAATCAACAGCAAATAGGCGAAATAGATTGGTAGGACTCCTTGTCAGACATGAAGGGCTAGTAAATGTACGTATCCTTGGTATTGTCATAAATCGCGATTGCCAAAAGAATGATTAAACTAAAAGAACATTTGTACATTAAATTATTGTGGAGAAATACAACAATAAAAACGATATTGGCACTTAATTTTAAACCTTAATAAAAGGAAAGACATTATGTCACATTGTTGACGGGGATTATTATCATATGAATACATTTCCAACTTTTTCTAAAATTTGGTTGAAAACCCTTACATATTATAATTTGAAACTGCTCAAGAAGTATTTAGTTGCTAATTATCATTTTGATGTCGGAAATAAGGACGTTCATAAGGATACACAAATGTTAACAACAAATATTAAAAGAATTATTAAAAATTTTGGTAGAGGTGCCAAGACAATTTAAAACAAAAGCTATAATTGTGCAATAATTCGGGTTTCATTGATGAAGATTAATGAATTTTCATCTTTACATTATATCGCTTCCATGTTGATGCAGTTAGGGATGCCAATTTATATATATTTTTTTAAATAAATTAAAGTACAATTTGTAATATAATATATAGACAACCCAACTTACAGCAAATATTACAACTCTAGTAATGCTGCTATAAAGGAAGTTAGAAAACGTTTTTTTGCATGAAAGTAGCTTTTTTACGTGCAAGTGAATGCTATAACTCAACCAACTACAAAATATTATGTAGAGATAATTAATTACTTAGTAGTATTTTTAAATACATCTTTTTGTAAAATTTAGTTGAAAACCCTTACATAAATATATTCTCTTTTGAAGCTGATCAAGAAGTGTTTAGTTGCTAATAACGAGTGTTT